CTTGCAACCAAGGTACATGCCCTGACTGGAATCAAACCCGGGACCTCTCAGCCACAGGTCGATACTCTATTCACTGAGCCAAACCGGCTAGGACTCGCCTCTTGAAGAGCACTAAGGTTGCTTCCATTCTTGGCTATTGTAAATAACTCTGCAGTGAACATAGGAGTGAATTTATTTTTTCAGGTTAGTGTTTTCGCTCTCTTTTTTTTGTTGTTAATCCTCAACTGAGGATATTCTTCCATTTTTCCAATGATTTTTAGAGAGAGTGGAAGGGAAGGGAGAGACAGAGAGAGAGAAACATCAATATGAGAGAGACACATCAATTGGCTGCCTCCCGCACGTGCCCTATCAGGGCTGGGGATCGAGCTTGCAACCAAGGTACATGCCCCTGACTGGAATCAAACCCTGGACCTCTCAGCCACAGGTCGATACTCTATTCACTGAGCCAAACCGGCTAGGACTCGCCTCTTGAAGAGCACTAAGGTTGCTTCCATTCTTGGCTATTGTAAATAACTCTGCAGTGAACATAGGAGTGAATTTATTTTTTCAGGTTAGTGTTTTGAGTTTCTTTGGATATATGCCCATAAGTGGAATGACTGGGTCATAAGGCAGTTCCATTTTTAATTTTTGAGGACTCTTCATACTGTTTTCTTTAGTGTCTGCACCAGTCTGCATTCCCACCAACAGTGTTTGAGGCTTCCCTTTTCTCTACATCCTCGCCAACACTTGTTGTTTGTTGATTTGTTGATGATAGCCATTCTGACGGGTGTGAGGTGATACTTCATTGTGATTTTAATTTGCATTTCTCTGGTGATTAGTGTCTCTAAGCATCTTTTCATGTGTCTATTGGAAACTATATGTCCCCTTTAGAGAACTGTATATTCTCGTCCTCTACCTATTTTTTTAAAAAATATATTTTATTGATTTTTTACAGAGAGGAAGGGAGAGGGATAGAGAGTTAGAAACATCAATGAAAGAGAAACATCGATCAGCTGCCTCCTGCACACTCCCCACTGGGGACGTGCCCGCAACCAAGGTACATGCCCTTGACTGGAATCGAACTTGGGACCCTTGAGTCCGCAGGCTGACGTTCTATCCACTGAGCCAAACCGGTCAGGGCCTCTACCTATTTCTTAACTGGATTGTTTGGGTTTTTTTGGTGTTGAGTTTATGAATTCTTTATAAATTTTGGATATTAACCCCTTATCAGATGTATAGTTGATGAATATCTTCTCCCATTCGGTAGGTTGTCTTTTTGTTTAGTTGATGGTTTCCTTTGCTGTGCAAAAAAATATGTGTGTGTGTGTGTGTGTGTGTGTGTGTAATTGATTTCAGAGAGGAAGGGAGAGGGCGAGAGAGATAGAATCATCAATGATGAGAGAGAATCATTGATCCACTGCCTCCTGCATGTCCCCTACTGGGGGTCGAGCCTGAAACCAAACCGAGGACCCTTCAGTCCACAGGCTGATGCTCTATCCACTGAGTCAAAGCAGCTAGGGCGCTGTGCAAACATTTTTAGTTTGATGTTGTCCCATTTGTTTATAATTTCTCCAAATGGCTTGGTGGGATATTTTCCTGGGCATAGGAGCAGAAAAGGTGGGCAGATTAATCCAGAGTAGGGCTTTACAGTGTGCACAAAGCTGAAGACAAGTCAACAAGGGTACTGACTAGTGAGGGTATGAAGGGAGGCCATGAGCTTGGGCCAAATAGTGCAGGAATGAAGCAGGCTACAGTAGGAAAAAAATTGAAAGGCTAAAGGTACTGTAGTAAGGTAAGGGACAGGTGTAAAGGGAAGAGAGGAATCGGTGTTAGAAAGACCAAAACGGTGGTTAGAAAGTGGGAGATTAGAGTTTATGTTTCCCAAGTTGGAGTAAATCTGAATGATGAGAAAATCTAAGGTATGGCCTTGGGTGTGAGCAACTTATTGAAGTGGAGGTGCGTATCCCTGGAGCTGAGGATAATAAGTACTGTGAGGTTAGGACAATAGATAGTTCATTAACATTAGCACTGAAATCACCCAAAATGAGGGAGTTAAGGGATGGAGAGCAAGATGCTGAACCAGGAGCCCAGGTGTTTGATGAACATAGAAGACAAGAGTAGACTGGTGGGTGGCAAAGATGAGGGGAAGACACTGAAAGCTGGAACAGTTTTAACATAGAGATAGTGGCCTACTGGTGCCTTATGTGTGTATTGAACTAAGCTGAATCAAAATGCTTGCTGGGTTAGTTTCAGGAAGTGTCAAAGCGAGCCCCAGCTGCCATTTTCTAGAAAAACCCCGGGTCACACATTAAAGTCAGTACAGAAGGAGTATTGCCTAAGCTGTGGATTCAAGAAGCGATCCAGAGAAGAAATAGCAGCAGGTTGGCTACTGGGCTATCCCTCTGGGCTCCACCCAGCCCGCATCTCTTGTCCTGAGCTGATGACTGACAATTTCATTCCTCCCCTCCCTCTCCGGGCACTTGCCAGTGCCAGCTCTCTGCTCCCCGACACCGTTTTGGCAGGAAAAGTCAGCCAGCCATCTCGGGCTGGCGCCATTCCCAGGAGAAGCCAGAGCAGAGACTCGGAGATGAAGCTGAAGGAAGCACATTTCAGGCGCACTTCTCTTCACTGAGCAAGGGCTCATTAGCCAAAATGATCATCTTCCCAGGCCCCTTCTCAGACCAACTTAAAAATAGCCTGAGCTGTCTCTCCACCCTTTCACACAAGAGTGCAAGTCGCTTCCTGCTCAGACGGAACCCACCCCAACCTCAGCCCTTCTAGAGCACAAGACCCATTCGCGCCTGCTTCTCCTTGTGGCTGCTGTGAACACACTCACGGCTCACTTCCAGGACACTGCTCTCTCTTGTTCGCCTCCTCCTCCACTAGCTGCTTGTTATTCAGCCTCCTGTGCAGGTTCCTCCTCATTAACTTGACCTCTAAAAGTTGGAGTGTCCCAGTTCTCAGCCCTTGATCTCCGCCTCCTCCCTACCTACACTCATTTCCTTTGTGATCTCAACCAGCCTATGGCTTTAAGACACTCTAATCACTGAAAAACACCAAATGTATATCTCTATTCCTGAGATAGTCTTATGTATCCAGTTTTCCCGTTGGTATCCTACTTGGGTATCTCACAGGCATCTCCAACTTAACATGCTCAGAACTGAAGTTGTGTTTCCCCATCCTCCCCGGGCACGCCTGCTCTCCCTGCAGCCTACACCCATCTCTGTCCATGGCAACTCTATCCTACCAATTGCTTAGGTCAGATATCTTGGAGTCAACTCCTCCCTTCCTCTCACAGTCCAATTGCAATCTATCAGCAAATCCTGTCAGTTATACTTTCAAAAGACACCGGGAATTTGGCCACTTCTCACTGCTTCTACCCCCCAGCACCATGAACAGGCCATCATCATGTCTTGCTTGAATAATTGCAATAGCCTTCTCTAGCTGGAATCTGCTTCTACCTATTCCAAACAACAGCCAGAATAATCCTCTTAACAAGTTAAGTCCTGGAGATCACGTCACTCCCCCATGCAATCCTCCATCTCATTCAGAATAACAGCAAATCTACTTACAAAGGCCTGGATTGATCTGCCTCGCTAACCCTCTGGGTCCTCATCTCCTACAACTGTCTCCCTCCTTCACTCCGCTTCAGCTTACACTGGCCTCCTTGCTGTTTCTCCAAGGGTGTTCCTGCCTCAGGGCCTTTGTACTCACTACTTCCTCTGCCAGTAACACGCTTCCCCCATGTCCATGTGGTTTGCTCTCTCACTTCCTTCAAGTCTTTATTCAAAAGTCATTCTTCTCAGTGAGACCTTTCCCATCCACCCTATGTAAATATAGGAAATACACTATGTCAGCATCCTACCCCTTCTCTTCTTTCAGTTGTACTCCATCGACTCATCTTCGAAACTTACTAAATGTAAACTCAATGAGAGCAGGTACTTTCTGTTTTGTTCATTCTTGGATCCCCTATGCCTAAGAGAGTACCTAGCCCACAGAAGGTACTCAATAATACCTGTGGAACAGATGTCATTCAGTTCAACTGGCTGTAGGGAACCCTCCACATCCTACAATCCTCTGGTTACCAACACTAGTACAATCGTTTTTGTAACGAAAACCTTTTCTCTCAAGCTCTTCTAGAAGCACAACTTTAAAAAAGCAACGAGTTTGTCTGGGCTCTTGCATATTTACACCATTGTCTATCTAATCCCAGCAGACGGAGCCCTTGCCTTCTCTTCCTTTGCTTCCTAGTTCCTGTAAAAAATCACCAACGGCTGGTGACCTAGTTGCAGATGAATATAACTATTAAACATCAGCTCTCAATAAAAATCACTGGTGTGTTTATTCTTTCATAGAGCAGAGGAATCTGTTATAATCTTCTTGTAACTATGTGAGTCTCTTCACCAAATATATTTAAATGATGAAGCAAGTGTCTTGAAATAGAATTTTCTACTGATCAGGTTTTCAGGAGACCTCAGTTGTGGTCCCAGCGTTACCATGGGATTGCCACAACTCTGGGAACTCCCCCCGAGTTCTCCAGTATTCTCCTAGGGGAAATTTGGCTTTGGATTAGATGACCACTTAGACCCTTCCTTTTTAAAAAAAAATTTTTTTTTTTATTGATTTCAGAGAGGAAGGGAGAGGGAGAGAGAGATAGAAACATCAATGATGAGAGAGAATCATTGATTGGCTGTCTTTTGCATGCCCCCCAATGGGGATCAAGCCCACAACCCTAGGCATGTGCCCTTAACCAGAATCAAACCTGGACCCTTCAGTCACAGGCTGATGCTCTATCCACTGAGTCAAACCAGCCATGGCTAAGACTCTTTCTTGATCTAAAATTGTGGTTTCCTTGGAAGAGAAGAGTTCCTATTCTCAAGTCACTACAAATGCAGGTGGTTATCTCATTGGCTTTCCCAAAGAAACATTGGTTACGCCAAAGAAACAGGGTCACAAGATACTATGACCTTTATATTGGTCAGGGCTTTTCTGTTAGGGGTATAAACCCAACTCAAACTGGCTGAAGTGAATAGGGTATTTATTTGCACCGACAAGTTGAAATTCCAGGGGTAGAACCTTTTCTGGCAAGCTGGGTTCTAGGGCTTATGGGATATAAGAGGGACCCAGTCTCTCTCCATCTTCTGGCTCTACTTTTTTCTGCATTGGCTTCATTTTCAGTAGGCTCTCCCCAGCAGCATCACGACACATGCCAGCTTCAAATCCAAGAGAAAAAAAGGCTTCCCAAGAATTCTGGGATCTTCTTAAAACGGAATCTCATTGGTTTGGTGTGAGTCATGTGATCCTTCCTGAACCAATCACTATGTCCAGGGAAATAGATTAGCCACATTAGTATCCATTCTCCAATGGAGCTGGGGTGGGGGTGGGGCCAGCCCACCCAATCCACATGGACTGGCAGAAGGATAGATGTCAAAAGGAAACTCAGGGGGCTAGTAACAGAAGAAGGAAGGTTGGATATTAGACAAGTGAAAATAACAGATAAAATCACAAGTATTGATTTTCCTGTAGGTACTATATTAATCTCCCGTGGCTACTGGGTGGCCTAAAACAATAAAAAATTATTCTCTCGAGATTTTAGAGGCCAGAAGTCTGAGATCAGGGGGTTGACAGGGCCATATTCGCTCTGGAGGCTCTAGGGTAGAATTCCTTCTTTGCCTCACCTAGCTTCTGGTGCTGTCAACATTCCTTGACTTGTCCTGTATCACTCTAATCTCTGCCTCTGTTGTCACACTGCCTCCTCCTCTTCCGTTTTTTTCAAGTCTTCCTCTGCCTTTCTCTTATAAGGACACTTGTCATTAAATTTAGGGCCCACCCAAATAATCCAGAATAATCTCATTAAGATTCTTAATGACTCTCTAACCACCAAGCCAAACTGGCCAGGGCTGTATTAATATTGATAATAGTTCATAATCAAGAACTCAAATGGAGCCTTAACCGGTTTGCCTCAATAGATAGAGCATCTGCCCATGGACTGAAGGGTCCCAGGTTCAATTCCAGTCAAGGGCACGTACCTTGGTTGCAGGCCCGCCCTAGTTGGGACACATGCAGGAGACAACCAATCAATGTGTCTCTCTCACATTGATGTTTCTCTCTGTCTCTCACTCTCCCTTCCACTCTCTTTAAAAAATCAATGGAAAAGTATTCTTGGGTGAGGATCAACAAACAAAGAACTCAAATGGAAAGTCACTGGCAAGAATATGGCCCTAACTGATTTGGCTCAGTGGATGGAGCGTTGGCCTACGGACTGAAGGGTCCCAGGTTCGATTCCAGTCAAGGGCATGTACCTTGGTTGCGGGCACATCCTCAGTAAAAGATGTGCAGGAGGCAGCTGATCGATGTTTCTAACTCTCTATCCCTCTCCCTTCCTCTCTGTAAAATATCAATAAAATATATTTTTAAAAAAGAATATGCCACAGAAAAGTTTTCAAACCTGATTTCTTTTCTTAGTTGAAGTGAGTAAAACACATTCCAAATCTCAACCACTGGTCTTTTCTTGACAAGGTAAATGGTCGTAGGAACCTCAGTCTCCATTAGAGATAAACAAGATAAAAATCCTGTGACTAAATTAACAGGAGCTCCTACTCCTCAAAGTAGACAACAGCATAATACATGTTTTCAAATAGATGTCATTTTGTCCCCTATTTCCACCCACATTCAGCCCAAGCAGCTGCCCTTTCTGGTTGCTCAGGTTGGACCGGGAACTCACTGGTTGCTGGTATTTTCCCTGGAGGCATCGTGGCAGCAATTCTGGATTCAGATCCTCAGATATCACTGGGGCTGGGCAGGTGGCTCTGTGCTTTATCAGTGGGATTAGTCTCACAGGTGTTTCACAAGGCTGGGGACTGGGGACTGGTGAGGAGTCTGATCCCTTAGCCTGCCCCCCTCCCCTACTCAGGAACTAAGGGGCATCGATCCTCATATAGGTTCTCGGTCTGCTTTTTCTACTAGAAACAGTAGGGTGTGAGAAGGGCGAGAAGAGTTGGGTGTCATGATTTCTGCACCCAGGGAACATACTCAGCTTACACCTGGCACACGGGAATCAAACTGTGTGTACATTGGGAGTGTGAATTTCCAGGGTCGGAAGCGTGGCGATCTAATAGACCTCTGGCCAGGGACCCTGGTGGGCAGATCCTTCTCTGTCACCACCTCGCTCAGTGACCTTAACTGGCACCTCCTCTCCTGTGCTCTGCAGTCCCCCACATTTCAACAAGAGGACTGGACCAGATGCTCTCTGAGGCGTCTTCTAGCTTCACTATCTCTCAGATGCGCACACAATTACACCCTCCAGGCTGAGAATCTGGGATACCTGTAAGGTTCGTTAGCTGCTTCTTTTTCCAGAAAGCTCTCTCCCACACACCCCGAGGTTGCTGATGTAACCAGAACCCTAAAGAAGGTCCCAGTTGTGCCAGCATCAGTCATTCATCAAACATGAATTGGGTACCCCCAGGTGCCCGCTGGAGCTAGACAGATGAGTGGGGTGGAGGCCCTGCCCGGAGAAGCACACAGCCGAGTGAAGGGGACAGATGAGTACATGAAGGATTGCATCGCGGTGAGATAAGTTCCACTATAGGGTTATTAATGAGGCTGCCTGACACATGGAGGATGGACTCATCAATCTGTCTGGGGTGGAGTCAAGAATGGCTTCCCGGGAAAGGTAACACCTGGGCAGACACTGCAGGGTGAGCAGGAGTTACCTGGGCCGAACAGGGATCATATCCCTCATGGTGCTCACAGCAAGGATGCCCACTCCACAGGTGCTTGCAAACTGCCATGGACCCATTGCTTCCTCTAGATCAGCGGTTCTCAACCTCTGGGTCGCGACCCTTTTGGGGGTCGGACGACCCTTTCACAGGGGTCGCCTAAGACCATTGGAAAACACATCTATAATTACATATTGTTTTTGTGATTAATCACTATGCTTTAATTATGTGCAATTTGTAACAATGAAAAATACATCCTGCATATCAGATATTTACATTACGATTCATAACAGTAGCAAAATTACAGTTATGAAGTAGCCACGAAAATAATTTTATGGCTGGGGGTCACCACAACACGAGGAACTGTATGAAAGGGTCGCGGCATGAGGAAGGTTGAGAACCACTGCTCTAAAGACAGGTGTCTCTCCCCTTGTCTGTTCCCCTTGACCTGACACACGGGTGGAAACCGTGTGCACCTCACTGAAGCCCAGGGGAGCCCAGCTTTGACACAGCCCGGAGATGGCAGAGCGTGAACCCAGCAGCGGCACTTTGACACGCCCGTATCGGATGCTTGCAACCTGTGTTCTGTGCACAGAACACACTTCCTCCTTCCTGTTTTTTCTTTCCCTTTCCCTTTTCTGCTGAACGTTTGGGGGAAGGCACATAAAAGCTCTTGGCTTCTCGAGTGTCTTTCTAAGGTCTCCTCTGATTCTACTTAGTCACGGCAGGCTTCTTGGAGGAAGTGCTCAGAAAGAAAGGTGCGGACTAGCTTGACTAACGAGGCTGGCATCTTAGCAAGAGGAGTCTCCCAGAGCCCCTTGCTACCCACACCCAAGCCACCACCACCCTTCCCTGCACTTGACCTTTGTTCCTCTCCTACCTCCCGCCAAGTATAACCCGGTTTGACCAAGTCCTCTTTTCCGTTTAGTGGCTGGGCACGTCCCTCCGGTTCGTGGTTCGCAGCTTTAAGCCGAGCTGGTTCTGGCGCCCGGCATCTGGACTTGGGGACCTGCGGGCTGCGGCTCATTCTGGCTGTGAATTACTTCGGAGGCGGCGCCCTGGCCCCGCCCCCCCCCGCCGCAGGTTCAAGTGTGGGCTGGGAGCTGGGCGGTGAGGAACACTCCCGGCGCGCACGGCAACCTGCTCCCTGCTCGGCCGCCAGGCTGCCGGCGGCGGGGCCGGAGTGACGGGACCCGGAGCGGTGCTGAGCGGTCCGGCCCCGAGCGTCCCAGCCCTCGCCGCGCCGCGCTCCAGTCCCCAAGTTCACGGGCGCCCCAAGAGGAGTCGGCTCGCGCAGGAGGCAGGTGGCGCCGGCTGGGGCTGGGCGGCGTGGAGCTCGCTCGGCCCCGCGAGGGTTAAGCCGTGCCGGCTCCTGCTGC